TTTTGCATTTGTTTTTTTCAGGAAGGAGAAAAGGCATTCATTGGAGGATGACATTTTTAATGATGGCGAATAACTGTAGGCGAAGTTGAATTTGAAAATCAATAATCCCTCCATTGTAAGGCTTTTTGTTTTGCGAATTAAAATCGTTTTATTTAGGACTTTGCAGTCTGCATGTTCTGTGCCCTACTCTGGATTATGATTTCGAGTTTTTTCTGCCGGTTACCCTAAGATTTATTCGTAAATCTTATGATTTATGGAGATACATAGACAAATCACAAATATGTAGGTGAATTTGGGGTATAATGGACTTTGAACTGAGAATGTACAGCTTTCTTTATCAATGGATGAGGTGAAAGGTGCTTTTGTGCTTAATCTATTTTTATTTATTTTAATTTTTCCTTCAGTGGAGTATGACTGGGGATTGTGCCTCTAGAGCTCTTGAAATTAAACTGTATAAGTCTTGAAACTAAATTTTGCACAAATTTGTAAAATTTAAAATGGTGACTCTGAAGTCTGAAATGTAGAACGGGACATATTTATTGAACTATAATATACATTTTGACAATAAAATTTGATATGAAAGAAGTATTATAAAAATATGATAGATTTTGTAGGAAAAAGTATACAAAATAAACTCAAATATTATTAAATAGGGGAGAGTATTTTTTTTATTATATAGCTAGTTGAGTTTACAAAATAAATTATGCAAAATGTTCTCATTGCATTAGAAAATATTGTTGATAGAATATTTCTTTCCCAAAATGGATAATTATTATACTCCTGTAAGTGAATAGAACCACAACCTACAAAAGATTCTTGTTCAAAATATTAAAAGAACACATAAGCAACTTTTATTTTATATGTGTAACAAGTTTCTACATTATACTAAAGATAACTTGGAGCAGTAAAAATAACCTCAAAACTTGATGAATGTTTGTGTTCTTTTTTCTTAAACAAGAAATAGAGTTTACAAAGATATCTGCACTAGACCGTTGCATAATTTTATTTCATGCATGATAAATTCAATTGATTAATTTGCTTTTATAGTAAGTTGCTTTTGTAGTTTGTTCGTACGAACTGAAAACTTCAGTTTGTAGAATATTTTGTAACATTTATCAAACAACAGAAGTCCTATACCAAGCAAATTAGCCAAATGAGGTAAATGTAAACAAATATAATTAGCACACTAAGTAGTTCATCTGTAAAACAACACAATTTCTAGAAAGCAAAAGCTTAACATAAGTGAATAAAACAGAGTAGCAAATGCAGGTGAAATTTTCCTCTTCTTTTGGTCCTCACAAACTGAAGAGAGGTTTGAGAAGATAAAAAGGCTCGAAAAACTTACGCCCTTCGAATGCCCGTTTACTTCTGCAAAGAGTAAACAACCATCATTATAATGACAATAGAATTTTCAGGTTGGACTCAGTTTTCATTTTTTTATTTTTTTTTTGTAACTTTTTAATTTAAAATAATCACCTCTGGCTCTGGTTTAGCTTCCTTAGACTCTTCAGCTTTGGAGTTCTCCTCACCTGCAGAGAGCAAAATTTCAATATGTAAAATTAAACTCAAAAGAGGGTTAAGAGTTAGTTTTCACATATTTCAAACTTTATAAAAGATTTTGAGAAGATAAATCATAGAAAATACAATGCATCTCTACAAGAAAAATCAAGAAGCATATCGAAGAGTAGCATTATCGAACAAATCCTATCAAATTCGTTTAAAACGACGAAGAACCCTTTTTTTTAACTCTCATTCTCGAGTGAATCCATTTGCAAAAAAGTTAAAAGGATAAAAAGGTACATTTACCTCCATCCTCAGGCAAATCAGATGTCCAGAGAGTGAGATTATCTCTCAAAAGTTGCATAATTAAAGTGCTATCTTTATAAGACTCCTCGCTCAAAGTGTCCAGCTCAGCAATAGCCTCGTCAAACGCTTGTTTCGCCAGGTGGCAGGCCCTGATGTGATCGACAAAACACACACAAATACACATGATTCAGAAGATTCTTGAAAATAAACATGGCACGAAGTAATCACACTAAAACTAGAAGTATTTGTTTTATTAAAAAATAAAAAATAAAAAAAAGAGTACCTCTCGGGAGAATTCATGATCTCATAGTAAAACACCGAGAAGTTCAGAGCCAGGCCAAGACGGATGGGGTGGGTCGATGGAAGGTCCGTGTTTGCGGAAGCTGAGGCAGCCTACAGAGGATTGCAAAAGAAGACACATTTAAATAGAT